CCTATTAACAATAAATATTAATTTTACTTAGTTTTAAAAATAAATATTATCATATATTTTTCCACACCGCAAATAAGAAGGCAAATAGATGGACTTGATACATGTAGATGAAACATAAAATCCATGTTCAATTATTCAATAATGTTGATAATTAATTTATTAAGAATCGTAATATAATGATTGCCAAATTTGTTGATATTCATTGATAAGTATTTAGTTCTCGGTGCATTCAACTTTTTTTGTGTTACTATTATTTTAAAACAATGTAACATTCATTATTTCTTATATGTACATATATGACATGATACAACTACATATATAAATTAAAACGTTACACAATTATTAAATAATAATAACAATAGTAGTATCGCCTAATTTAAAGGTTAAGTAAATAACCTATTAAATTTAGCTCTATCATAACCACGAAGAGATAGAACTCACAGCACCCAATCGTAAATTCTGATAATATTTATAACGATACACATGTATAATTCTTCTATGCATTTTATAAATTTATACATGTTTTAGATGTATCAATATTTAATATGTATATTTATGTATGTTAACTCAATTTAAAGAACTCAACTGTCTCTTACCTATTGCTTCAACGTATACGTGTTTTAAAATGATTATTGTTGTATTTTAATGTTGTAAATCATTAAGTTTTTTGAACAAAAAATGTCATCGTAAAAAAAATATACATCACGTCATGTATACTTGTTAAATAATGAAATATTAATAAGTGACTTTCAATTTATTACCAGAAATATTGCCAATATATCTATGAAACTCATTAATTAAAGCCAATAAATTATGTAAAAATCTCTTTCCAAACAATATTTTCTATTTCTGTATTTTTTTGCCTTTCTACTTGAACAAATAAATTATTTGTATCTTTGCATCTTGATAAAGCCACATATAATTGACCATGATGAAATAAAGGTTTTTTAAAATATAAACCTGCATTATCGAAATTTTGACCTTGGGGTTTGTTTATTGTCACAGCAAATGCCGCAACGATTGAAAATTGTTTACGATATACAATAAACGGTAATGTTGAGGAGTTTCCTGTGTCTTAAGTTGTTCTTGGAATGAAGATTCTATTTCCAATTTTTTCTCCAGTTATTATTTCTCCTTCTATATTATACTGTGATAATTTTGTGATTCGTAAACGTATTCTATTACAGAGTCCATCTGATATACTTAAATTTCTCAGTAACATCACTATTGTACCAATTTTTAGATTTAGTTCATGATGTGGTAATCCTTCACGAATATTGTTTAACGTTTGCACCGAAAAATTAAATAAACATTATCATCTGATTCATCAACCCCTTTATAAGTTACGTTATCTATACTATAGTAATTTTTAATTTCTCCAGTTAATTTTTTAAGAATTTTATTATTCAAATAAGAGGTGTACTCGTTATGCGATGTAAGTATAATACTATTCATCGAACAATTGTAGGTATTAGAAAATATTTAAGAACATTCATCATTTGAGATCCAATTTTTAGGAATGTTAAAAGTTTTTATTTCCCCTTCCCCAATTTTTACTAATAATTTTGAAAATTTTCTATCGGTAGAACGAATATTGATTTCTAATTTTAAAGTTTGGAACGAGTTCCATAAAAATGAAGATTCAATAGTTTGTTCAGTCATAATTTTTCTATTACCATTTTTTATCACTGGGAGAATTTGATGAAAATCACCTCCTAAGATAATTAATTTGTTTCCAAAATATTTTTCAGTATTACATAAATTTCTTAACGTTCTGTCTACTATTTCTAATGTTTTTTTAGGAATCATTGAAGCCTCATCCCAAATAATTAAATCAACTATTTTCAATTTTTTTTTATCTGACTCGAATTCTAAAAATGCACTCTCTATATTTTTAAGATATAAAGGAAGTCTAAAAAATCTTTGACTGGTTATCCTCTTCGGAAGCAAAATCGATGCTATGCCAGTCCATGCCATCGACATGATTTTATTTTGAGAAATAAAAAAATTATTAACGTTTTATATAAATAAGTTTTTCCTGACACTCCGGGACCATCTTTAAAGAAAATATTATTTTTTTGTTCGCAAATAATATGAAATATATTTTTCTGGTCATTATTGAAACTTTTATACATCGAGTTAAACATTTCTTTACTGAAACGTATTTCATTATCTATATCTTCTTTTTTACTCTCCATTTTTTTTATTGTAGGTAAATTAAAGCATTCACATTATTTATCTTCTGATTCTAAAATTTGGTTAATATAGAAGAGCTAAATTATTTTTATTATTAGGCGAACCCTCCGTAGAAAATTCTTTGTATTTATTCCATGTTTTATCACCTCGAACGTTTTCTGAAATTAAAAACCAAGCAAAAAATTGTCTTTACTAATATGGAAACGTAACAGCAATTGCTTCTTTAAAAATATCATCGATTTTTTTCATAATTGTCTATTAA